GCCTTGATGAGGGATAAAAAATACTTGAGGTAATTTTCTAAAGTATACATCATTTGAATCAAAACCCCTAAGGTTCTGATGTACAAGTCTGATTGCTAGTGACTTTGAAGAACCCGGCGAACCCACAATAAAGAGAGGCACTTTACATAATATACAAACAATAATAGACAATACATTCTCCAATAATGCCTCATTGAATGCAGTATTTGGCGGACACGTCATTCTTTTCATATAATCCAATTGCTCTTCCCTTATAATATCGTTAAAACGGGATTCTCTTATATTTTTATACTTCTCGTTACGAAGTAAGATCTTACACATTGTTTCACGATACCTCTTTCTTAATTCACGATCATATAAGCGAGACATATAACATAAACCTAATGCTAAAATAAAAGACCGAGTAACAATGTCCGGATTATCACCAGGATACATCCTTCCTTCTTTTTGACGGGTTATAAGACTATCTTGGAAAAAGTTGACTAATTTAATGGCTCTTTTAACATCACGTAAACTGACACTATATGGTTCTTCAACATTACGAATAAATTCTTGTGATGCAAATAGTAATTCTGCAAGTATAGAAGAACTTTCAAATGACTCTTGTACCATTATTTGAATATAAGTCAGTTCATCATTTGGCTGCAGTCTACCATAATCCCATACGTAATCTAAGATTTGGTCTGGAAGAGGCTTAACTTCATAGACGAGGCAACTTCGTTCTTCAAATCTAATATTGTTTGTTTTTAATCCCACATTACTAACACTTTTGTTTCGAATGCGATATGGATTACAGGCTGCAAATAATCGAATATTTGGGTGAATTTGCTTTCCATTAAGCATTCGATGAGCAATAAGATCTGCCAACAGTCCTATATGATTGCAAGTATTAATTTCATCAAAAAATAGCCAAATCTCTTTAGCTTGTGCTTTTTTATCAAATTCTTTCATGAAATCCTTGATATTTTGTTCTGTGATTCCAGCGTGAATGTTAAGTGCGCTAAATTCTACTTCCACAACTTTGGCCAAGAAACCGATTAGACTTGTCTACAAAAAGACGAAAAGTATGAAAATGTGCTGCAAGATATTATCAAACATTTTTGTTAATAAAAAAAAGTATACCTTGCCACACCCTGCCTCACCACATACGACTACAGGAATATTAGCTCTTGTTCTCAACAACATCAATGCCATTTTTAGCAGATTATCAACTGATAAAGCATATGGCGGGTATTTAATATTATGCATTGTTTTTCGTGCTAGACGTTCCAAAGTAGATAATAATTGTTCAGATGACATTGTGTGATAGTCAACTAAATTCCATTCCTTTTCAATGTCTTGACTTTTTAATAAATTTTGAACGTTGATTGGAACTTTTGATTTGTCGCGATATAAAGCACAAATCGAATCTGGGAGCTGAGACATAAAAAATACCAAAAGATGATTAGAATCATCCCATTGAACTAAATTCATTAATTCTTGTTGTTCTTGTCCCTGAGATTGTGTAACTGCTTGTAATTGTGCAGATTTTGTCTGAATTGATTTTGTAGCAAAATCTTTTGAAACTTCGAGTAATGTATCAAATAATGTCGTTCGGATATTGGTTTCGTTAGTCATCAGACTCAAATGATGAACTTCAAAGAATGAACTTCCCGATAATCTAATTAATTGATCTGCAAAAACATTTATAAAAATTTCTAAAAAACGAAAAGACGAAATATTAGAATCAATTTTTTGAAAAAAATATTTGTCCAAAAGTTGTTGACATAATTTTGGCTGAAGAGGTACTCTAACAATGTTATCGTGATTGGAGGTCAATCGTGGTCTGAACAAAATATCTTCCTTATCAAGCTCCATTTTTTCATAACTATTTAAATAATGACAAACAACTTGAATTGGACTATGTATTTCCTGGGATACCATCAATCTATTAATATGCCATATTAAATTGGGTTTATCTAAACAACTAATAAATGGAAGAGATTTGAGCAAGTGTTGATCAACACTAGAGGCTACTTCAATGTAAATGTTCGTGAATGGAAGGCTTGCTATATCTGTGTTATTTGAAACGATTTCCAAAGTTAATAATTGAAACAAAAATATATTAACTTCCCCAGGGTTATCAGCAGATATTATGTTTATATGCAGGCTGTCAAAATCTCGAATACGGAAATCCCTAAGCTGTCTTATAAGTGAGTTATAACTTGCTCCATCACTAATGGGAAAAGTTTTAGGAATTAGATGTTTTCTATAACTCTCTTGTTTAATCCATTCGGTTTTTCCTAGTCCAGATAAATCCGAAGTTAAGCACGTAACTTTTGAACATAATTCGCGATAAATGGCTTTCATTGCTATCGTGCTAAGTCCATTAGAAGGGTGAACATTTTCGGAAAATTGGTCCAAAATATGATGATGCACGCCAGTTTCGGAACAACATATCAATGCTAAATAATAATCATCAATTCGTTCCATAAGAGATCTAATATTATTCACTAAATCATATTGTAATTCGAAATCCAGTGACTCTAAATTCGTAATACAGAATAAATGATTTCCGTAACCATTTTTCGGTGCAAAAAAACATCTTTTGATAAAAATTGAAAGTTCTTCTTCTGTAGTTGATGTCGTACACATCAAAAGTTGCCAAGGTTCAGGATAAGATCCGTGATTGGCATAAAATGACATTATTATATTAGGAACTTTCGATTTATCGTCGCAAGCAGCGACAAATAATTCTCCGCGTTTCACAACATCTGAAATTATGCGTTCCCCAGAATCTTTTATTGGCCGTGGTTGTTTTTGAAGGGTTCCAAATATATTTTCCAATCTTTCACCAATCTCTTTTAAAATAAGATAATAATCTCCTTTTCTACAACTAAATCCTTTACTTTTTAGGTGACTTGGTAACTTTGCTTTTTTATTGACAAATGCTACAAGTGTATAACAAGTTCTTGTGATCTCATATTGTCTACCGGTTTTCAAGTAGTAATCAAAAAATGCTAATATATGCCTTGCTGGATAAAAAGTTAGATAATAAAAATTTTCTTGTGCTCGATTAACCAAATCTACCCTATAAGTATAATCTATATTAATAACGACTATTAAATGAAAAAAAGCAATGAACAAATAATCATGCTCACCAGAGATCCAATTCTTTTTTTAGTCTATCTGCTACTTTCTCTAATTGTTTGGTACTTTTAGCTACTTCATTAAATTTTCGAAATCCAAAATGACCTAATTGAGTTAACTTTTTCATTGTATTAATTATATTTTGAGCAAAATCAACTTGCGTTACAAATTCATCCATTTTGTTTTTGACATCATCAACTTGTCCATAAGAGCCACCAGGCTTTGAAATTAAAAGCGCCCTGCCACGTAAATCTTGTAACTCATTTATACCGTACACCATCGTTTCTGATTTAGAAACATATGACAATGTCAAAACACATTCCTCATTTTTTTCCTCCTTAACGAATTCATATGTACCAATTTTTACAGCATTTTGGATCTTTTCCTTTGTAACTTCACCACGATTAGATATGGTATTATACATATTTTGCAAAGCCATATTGTTACTATTACATAATGTTAATTTACTCGTTGATGAAGGATTTTGGTTAACAATTTCATTTAATTCTTTCACAAATGTGTCCAAAGTTAAATTTGCTTTAGTCATTAATGGATTCAAAAATTGCTTAACTTGAATAAGTGAAGAAACAGTATCTTCTTGAATCAATCTTGTATCTGAGTGTTCGTCGACACCATTAATCAAATTTTTCATGTCATGTTCTGCTATTGTTTTTAAAAATCCAATAAATTCTTCAGATCCAGACAATTCCTTAATAAGTGCCCAAATATTATGATTGAATTTGGAAAATTTTTCATCTAAATCTTCAAAGGAAATACTTAATGTACTCAAATTTAAATCATGATCCCTCAAACTTGAAATCTCAATTCCAAGCCAGTCATGAGACACTTCGAAAATCTCAAGTACAGTTGATAAATATTCTAAACGTTCAATCCAAACTTTAACTTCGGAAAGATACCTGATCGTTCTCATGAATTTCTCACTTTTATCAATTTTGCCAAACCTATTCATTAACTTTAGTTCATCATCGAAATTAGAAACATTGCGCCAAAATGAAATGGCCTTGGAATATTTTAATTTCCCCCAATTTTCGTATTGCTTACATATATCCATATAATCACTTATAATACCCTGCATTAACTTGTTTGCTATAAATTCAACTCCCATCACTTCATCTGATTCACAAAGGTTAAACTGTTTCTCAAAAACATTATAAAATGTTCGAGAATTGTTGAATGGATCTGTAACATCTGCTATTGACATGATTCCTTTGTGAAAATTCCAATGGTCTTCTGATAAAGATTCTTTTAGTGAAACGTGACCCAAATTTTTGCTTCGCTCTCTTAATTCATCAAGGTAATCTTGCACATCATTGGCTTTATGTGATGGACAAAATCTTTTATAAAAATTGTCAAGTTTTTTCAATCTTTTTTCATAAAGTTGACAATCCTGACGAACTTTAGCCAATGTTTCTACAGTAATTATTTCTTTATCAAATTTTCTGATAAAATTTGCAGAATTTAGATAATAATGAAGTTCATCATCGTTATATTTTTTAAGTAAATCCTGAAGAAGAAGAAGATCGATTGAACTATCATTTATCATAGTAGTTAACTCGAGAATGGCTTTTCCAGCTTCTTGTATCAATAGGTGAGAATGAAATTTTTCAGTATTTCCGGTTGCTCGAAAGATTACAATCCAGAAGTTAGCAGACTCAAGTAAAATTTGATTGGAGGTTAACTCTGAAAAATTCGAAGATCTTTTTTGCAAGCATGACATTATATGAAGCAAAATTGTTTCACACAACCTAAATATAAGAAAAGATATGTAAATATATAAATATTATTAATATATGTATATATGATTTTATATATATCCATATATAAGTTAAAATATAAAATTAATCACGTACTCATTGGGAATCTCTAAATTGTTACCACAACCACAAACAGTTCTCATTTTCTTTAGTAATAATTCATCATAGTCCAATCTCATTAGATCAATCTTTTCTTTAATAATTTTCGTAAATACGAGGCGCACTACTTGGCCAAACTTTGCAACTCCAGTTGTAGCAGCAAAAATGTTTCTTTCTACACATTTTTTAATTCGATCGAACGTTAAAGACATTAATTTATCCAAGATGATTTGATCATTAAGTAATGAACCGATCATGGACAATTTCTCAAAGACCGAGATTATGAATTCTACTTCACGAGGTGCTGTACTGGATGATGTTATAAGAGCCATGCTTTTAATAAGGTTTTTATACCATTGAACACAAATTTGAATTATTTTCTCATCTTTGGTATCTTTGAATTTATAAATCCAATTTTTAAACAATAATGGAAACACGCTTAATAGCTGATATTCTTCTAAGTTTGATAATGTTTCCAATACGATAATATATTCATCTTTTGTCCAACGTAAATTTGCGGAATTTATAAGAAAAAAAAGAGATTCGGAACGAGATCCTTTCCAAATAGAATTACGGCTATTGGTTAATAATTGAAGAGTTCTTTCTCTAAATGGTGCAGCGACTAAACTTCCAATTGCCTCGGGAAGCTCGCTAAAATTTTTGTGTAAATCAACGAGATCATCCTTAGATATATATTTTTCAATTCTTCCTACAAAATATGGTTGAATCTGCTTGTCAAGCTTATCAGAATGATTAATAGATTGCCAAATGGTTGAAAACATTTTCATTTTGTTGCACTGGTCAATCAACCACTATATAGTTAATATTGAAAAAAAAAACAAGTTAATTGATATGATGGACTTTAATAAACAAAACCAGATAAAAGTACCTTAATAATTCTCTCATAAGTATTTTCATTAAATTTATTTTTCAATATATTTTCGAAACAACTTTCGATATACTTTTCATCACACTTAACAAGGGATATCGTTTCCATAAACTTATACTGTGGGTCGATCAACGGCGCCAAGGTAAAGATAGGGAGCCAGTCGTGTAATCCATTATCAATATTGTGATGAATTAAATAGTCAATCCCTTTTAATACGATACGCATATCATCGGATGGGAATGAGTTTGATTGAACTTTGAAAGCAGTTTTAAGAAAAGCAGTTGAATTAAAATCTTTTGAAAATTCAAATTTTCCAGTAATATTAGGACGACAATGTCCTAAAAGAAAACATAGAAAATGTTGTTTAGCAATACTCTTATCCACCGCATGCTCGCTAATAAATTTAATATTCGTTTCGGCTAATGTTAATTCGTGATGCTGTTTTAAAATACTGTCATATTCTAAAATTTTTTCCTTGAAATTTTCTACATTTACTGAATCATAAATGACTTTCAAGAACATATAATCCGTGACTCGTCCATTGAAATCAGCGTTATTTTTCCAAATATCAAATTGGTTTTGACATTGAAATTCTAGCACACGATCGTCCTTATTGTCTTTCCCTTCATAATATAAACGCGTGTCGGTTCTTTTACCATTTTTTCTAGATTCAAATACTGCATACTTATATCTAACAATATTTTGAAACCTTACCATTGGGATACGAACAGGATTCGAATACCAATAAGAAGTGGCTATACGACGTTGAGGAAAAAAACCTCGCTTATGTTGATTAAGTTGCACTTTATGTTCATTCCAATTGCCAAGTTCTTTGATATTACCGAGTACAACAAGCTTCCCAGTAATTGCCTTAGGTAAATGCAAATGAAATACGATGTCAACAAATTTATTCTCAACTTGTTCTCGTTTTTCAACAACATTACCCTTAGCTTGCTTATCATTAGTTTGATCTCGTTTTTCAACATCTTTAACCTTAGCTTGCTTATTAGTTTGATCTCGTTTTTCAACATCTTTGCCCTTAACTTGCTGATCATCAATTTGTTCTCGTTTTTCTACTTCTTTACCTTGAGCTTGCTTATCATCAATTTGTTCTCGTTTTTCAACAAATTCACCCTTGGCTTGCATATCATCAGCTTGTTTTTTTTGTTTATTAAGTTTCTTCCTTTGCGATTTAGATAGTGGTGGCTCGTTGTTTGAGCTGACATCTGAATATCCCGTACGAGCTTCATTACTTAGATTCGGTTTAATCTGGATCGATTCAGTTGTTGATTCAGTAAGTCGTCCTTTATTTAAAGATTTATTTTCATTCTTAAATTTCTCTCCAAGATTTTCATTTGAATCATTAATAATGTTTCCTTGTTCTGAAAAAGTGCTCTTGTTCTTGCTCTTATATTGAACATTTGGTTTCTCGGTGCTGTTATATGATTCGTCACGAGATTGACGAGGTTGGTTAGGGTAAACAGTTGACGCGGAAGTAGCATTATTGTAAACCAAATAACTTCCTTCGGCTTTTTCTTCATTGTAAACAAATTTATCTTCATCGACTGGTTTTTCGTCATCGTAATCAAATTTAACACCAGTTGAATCTTTACTACTGTAAACAAACTTATCTTCGGATTTTTTATCTTGTTCACTAAGCCTATCTTTGGATTGCTCATCACCGTAACTAAACTCAGTACTCTCATAACCATAGTTATAATCATCTTCTTCGGTTTTCTCGTCATCATATTTAAACATGATTTTCTCATCGCTATAAATAAACTTATCTTCTTCAGGTTTCTTGTAAATAAACACGGTTTCCTCGTCATAATTAATAAACTTTGTTTTCTTATAATCGTTTATAAATTCATCATCTTCGGTTTTCTCATCTTCGTAGATAAACTTAGTTTTCTTATCATCATCGTATATAAACTTAGTTTGCTCAAACTCATCATCAATTTTTTCATCACTATAAACAAATTTTACTTCGGTTTTTGAACCAGAAATTGGATTAGGTGGTTCACCTTCCTCATCGTTAGATTTTTTTTTGTTCTTACGACTATCGATATTAAGTTCCATTGAGACTAACGTGATAAATTCACTTTAATGATATAATGAAACTCAAATCGAAAACTCAACAAGTAAAAGATTCTTTTATGGCCTGATAACAAAAGATTATCAAACAAAATCTAAAATAGTTATTGTTTCCCCAAAAAGGGGATTACGTTATTCTTTTTAGAAATACTTTGAATGTTATCTGATTTACTCCCAGATTTTCCGGATTGTGGCTTCCATTTTGTACAAATTTCGCAGCCCATGTATAAATTAAATTTTTTTAAAGTACTCATCACATGATATTTCAATCAGGGTCTCTAAATCCGGGGTCTGTTTTAAATTTATATTACCGTAGTGCGCGCTCTATAGTACCCCGGGTATTTACATTCTACAAAATTTATACAAAGCGTTAAATTTTTTTCAAAGTAAACTCCGATGTATGATACCTTACATTCTAATGCGTTCCAAAGCATTATGCGTCTTTACGGTAATTCTTTATCGTTATATACTGTATATACCTATTATACAATTCTTATTGTTATTAATATTTTTTTTTTTGTATTAAATCATAAATTATAAAGTTTTAAAAAATACATCTTTGCTTTTAATAATAATAATATTTATTTCGTTTTTTTTA